GGGGCCAGGGGGAGGGGGAGGAAAGGAGGAAGGGATAGGAAGGGGGTTGCTTTCATCAAACCTGTAGCGTTGTAATTGGATAACGCACAGAAGCAGCAGCAGCAGCCGCAGCAGGGGTAGCAGCAGCACGAGCACGACTCTGCAGGCGGAGCGGAGAGGATGGGCAGGGGGCTGGGTGTCGTGGGGGAAGGGTCTTGACGGGATAGGCTATCCTTGATGCTGGATTACAGCGCTCAGTTAACTAACTATGCGGAAGGGGAGAGCAGGTGATTCGTTTTCCTTTCGGTTTCAATGAGGCACTTGCGGGATGATGGTCGTAATGGAATGAAACTCAACTCTCGGTGGCGGGGAGGGGTGGGGGGGAGGGGTGAGCCTCCCTGGGCGCGGCGCGCGCGTCGGTATAGCCCTGCGCGCCCCGCTCCTTGAAGCCGTCAAAGTGTCTGGAATAAGTGGAGGGTGACGAACGAGCCCTGCGCTGCTTGCTGCTGCGCTGTGCCGTGGCTGTGCCGCCTCCACGCGCCGCCGGTGCACGTGCTGCAAGGGGGCGCTGCTGGGTGAGAGCGGCGCGCAGAGCAGGCCCCGTGGCGGAAGGGCAGAGAGCGGGTCGCCGCAAGGGAAACCCCCAAGTGGCCGTCGTGGAGGCCAAGGTGGTGGCTGGCCGCAGCAGACGGGAGTAAACCCGCACCGTCCACATTTGTAGGGTATGCTGTACCGTCGTGCACGCGAGCGAGGTGGGTTGCCTACCCGTTCCGGCCGCAAGGCGCCTATTGGCTTGCTTATATCAGGTTCGTAATTAGACGAAAACTTAGCCATCCGCACTGGAGGGTCAAGGCGTAGTGAAGCTGCGAGCCTGTCCCCACCCCCACATCCTGGTCCGGGCCCACCCCACAGAGCTCCCCATCTACACCAACGGTGCTCTCTGGTGCTGTACACTACCGGACAGCAACAGGACAGACGCGCGCTGTCCGCGCTGCTGCCTGCGCTCCGCTTCCGGTAGTTTTCCCGGTGGTTTGGTCCGCCGACTGGTCGTTCGCGGTTCCAGCAAACGCTGCTGCGGTGGAGAGGCGGACACACCCACGCATCTCCGCCGCAGCGCCGGGGCAGTTACGGCCGCGGCGTCGCCGAGATACCATCGGCACGCGCAACGCCGCGAGCCACCGCACCGCCCGTCAATAAACCACTGACGGATCGCCGCTCGTCTGGCGGGGCGGGGCGGGGTGGGCTGGGGGTGGGGCAGAGGGTTGAGCGAGGCGAGAGGGCGTGAAGCAACTTGCTGTTGACACCAGGGAGATGTTTCGTGACGCGCGACTTGTACGACCGGTTATTCCCCCCATTCAGTACAAGGGCGACGACCCAAATTGTATGAACAGAAACAAACAACACTTGCCACATTAATTTCTTTTGGAAAGTACGTGAACTCCCAGGGCCCACCTCGCATGCGTACCTGCCCCCCCCCCCCTTCGGGCTATAAGGTAAGCCCCCTCTTTCATGGGAAGCGGATCAGTAGATCAATCAAACCATCTATCTATGCGTGGAGGGGGTCCGCTACGCTTTCTCCCCCCGCCCCGCACCCCCTGCCCCCCACGGGGCGGGAGAAGGGGGGCGCGACCGAGCCCCGTAAGTCACACCGCCGGGGCTGTCCTCCGCACACAGGTGGTCCAGCGTCATGGCCGCGAACAGCTCGTCGTCCCCGATGCTGCTGCTGCAGCTGGCCGTGCTGCTGGCCGTGGCGGTGCTGGCGTGCGGCGGCGCCAAGCAGCAGCAGGCGCTGCGGGAGGTGCGGCCCCGCGACGTGGACCTGGTGCTCAACAACGACGCCCTGCTCAACACGTTCATCCGATGCCTCCTGGAGAAGGGCCCCTGCAACCAGGACGGCTACCAGCTCCGCCGTGAGTATTTCTTAGACGTAATCGTCATGTGTAGGGGGTCCATATATCATAGCCTCACAAACACTTCATTTTCACAAACCTGAGTTAAGCGCCGTAAGAAGTGAACCGCCTCTAAATATATGAGGTCTCCTACGGGAGTGGTTCAAACTCAAATGCACATGAGATAAGTAACCTCCGACGAGTCTTTTCACCCCGGGCCCGGGCCGCGCGGCCCTGCTTCCAGACGCCTTCGAGACCGACGCCTGGATAGCCCTGTTCCTCTGGTCGCCCGCCGTTAGCGAGGTGTCGCTCCACGGGCTGTGGGGCATGTCCCTGTGGCACTTGCACCACTTCCCTCTGGGCTCCGCTAGGCGCCTCTGGGCCCCGCTAGGCGCCTCTAGGCCCCGCTAGGCGCCTCTAGGCCTCGCTAGGCCCCGCTAGGCGCCGCTAGGCTCTCATGCACTAATGGGCCGAGGAGGAGGTGAGGCTGAGGCGCGCGCGTCCGAGTGACGGGCGGGGCCGGTAATTGAGAAGGAGCCGCGCCGTCGAAGGGGCGCTATGCAAGGGGCGGCGGGGCGGGATTGGCCGGGCTGCTGGGCTCAGCCGGCTCGGGTAGGGAGAGGAGAGGGCGCCCCGTGCTCTCAAAACTACGTCATTCTCCAGGGGGGTGGGGGTACATTTTCAGCGGATCTTTAACTCGGAGGGCGATGTGTTTGGTGTAGGTCATGTTGATCGTATCCTGCTCGTCCATATAATTTCCCCAGGCGGGTTTACTGGGCAAAAATTTGGAGCCGATATTGTCGATACTGGAATCAATGCGAGGGTCCTGAAAAAAGTCACCCACCACCTTTTGCGATGGTGCCAGGTGTTTCAGACCAGACACTGGCTGTGTTGCGGGTTTGCGTACGCTCTTGAGCCGCAGGGGCCATGGGTGCCTTACGTGACGGTTGGAGGGAGTAGGCAAACCCGCAACATTGTAGTGTCTGCTCTGAAACGCACCGTCCCGGTCCCGGCACAGCAGCAACCCTAACCCGAGGTGATTGATTCGTGGTGTCTACCTGGGAAGACCAATTATTTCAGTATTTAGCTTCGATTGGCACTAACACAAGCAGAACCCAGTCCAGAAAATGTTTCCAAAAGCTGAACAAAAAAAAATAAATCCGGCAACGGGAGGATCGAGCAGAAAGACAAGATCAAAGCAGAGGGGATACAAATTTTCAGCCCCACGTCTCTTGTTCTTGTTCTTAGTCCAGAAATATTCAGTATGGTCTAGAGCACAAGTAGTGTGCCCAATTTTAACGAGGTAGTGCACCTGGGCTGTCGCCGTCGGTGCAGTCCGACACGGACGGGATCACATCGACGTGCCATCTTATGGAACCGGTTGACGGGCAGCCCAGTTTGGTTGGGCTGCCCGTCTCGTCATTGCCTGGTCAGCTGCGGGCACTTGTACCCACACTGCGTTCTACTCCATACTCCGCAAAAAAGATAGGGGGAAAACGGAGTGCACCCATGGCTGGCGCGCCACGTGAAAATGTGGGTCATTGGAGGGCGTCATGCCGTCATATTTCCATAAGGGGTCGTCGTTAATGACGCGATTACAACGGAGGGGATAAGTGCTTTTCATTTCGTGAATCTTGTTCCTACTTGGGGTTGTTAACGGGAGGGAGTCGGAGGCCAAACAAACTCAACTCGATCGTTGGTATTTTTCCTGGTGGGGTGGGGTAGATTTATCATATCGTGCGAAAAGCTCACGAAACATGTCATTACGGTGATGTCACAGGAGAGGGCTATGATTAAAGTAAGTCGCCCCTAACAGAAAGAGGACGTAGTTTGTGAGCGACCCCCACAGCGCGCCGCGCCGTGCCGGGGAAGTCCGAGACCGTGACGATGACGCCCTTCCGCTTGTGCTCCCCCAGGGCTGCTGCCGCAGACGCTGGAGACCGGCTGCGAGAAGTGCACCGCCAACCACAAGCAGCAGAGTGAGCGCGTGATTCGTTTCTTGATCGCCCGCCGTCCCCGGGACTGGAAGCTGCTCGCGAACAAGTACGACCCCAAGGGCGAGTACGAGCGCCGCTTCGCCCCACCGGGCACCCCGAACACCCGGGCCTGAGCAGGTCAAGGTCAGAGGGCCGGCCGGCTCGTTCTGACCGCCTGCTGCTCGTTGGTCTTTTCGCGGCTGTGTCGTAACATCATGCAAGTGTCAGTCAATCTCGTGTCGTCGTTTTTAAAATAAAAAAAAGTTTCACCTTCAATACCCCATTCTAATTATTTATTCATTTCTTTGTGTTTCAAAAAAGAAAAATTGGAGCACCTCGTTTTGAATCAATTTGAACATGAGCAGTGTACATAAATAAATTTGTAAAATGTTATTTTGTCGCAATCAATGATCCACTTCACGTCAAATTCGTTGCGCCAAACGACGGGCACGTTGTATTTTCTTACTGAGAAAGATTTGACATACTCATCACAGCATTCTGCACCGATCCTGCTCAACTTATTCGGGAATCAACCATTTTCCTCCTTTCGATGGTGGGAAGGAGGTGGGAAGGAAAAGGCACATAGTGGAGGGCAGCTTTAAGATTAATTTATTTACAAAACACCTTAAAAATAAATAGAATGATCACATTTGACTTCCTCGAGAGCAAGAGGGAAGAGGGGGAGGAGGGCGAGCAGCGTCCTTCAGGTAAAGAGGCGCACCCGATCCCCGGGCAACATGTTCACACACCACTGGTAGTACGGCAGCGACTCGGACATATTTCGCACAATGGTTTTGGCACCCGCTCGCGCCAATCTTCGGCTAGCCTAGGGAGGAGCAAGGAGGGGGAGGGGGAGTTAACCGCGTGGGGGAGCGTTGCGGTATTTGGCGAGGATCATGTCGTAGTCGCGGGGGTAGTTCCTCTGGATGTAGTCGATGAGCTTCCTGGCGTTGGCGGCCTGCTGCTGGTCGCATCCCTTGCAGTTGTTGAGCACCGTGGGGATGGCACCTGCGCAGAGGGATGAGCACGGTACAGGTACAGGTCGTACATAACAGATCCGGTGTGGTGTGGGTAGGCTATGCGGGCGGGGGGTTGGTTCCCACCCAAGCCAGCCTTGTTGAGGTGTGCCTCGCACTCGCAACTCACGCTTTCTTAAGGAAAGATGTTTCTACTTTCCTCACAGTGGAAATAAATTTGAGCTTCCTGCTACCCCTTAAGGAAATATTTACTAAGCCCAGAAAAAAAGTTTATTGATTTAAGTGCGAGCTGACATAGAAAATATTACCTTGTTTCAAGAGTAAATTTGATCTTGTGTCAGCGTGCACTTGAAACAAGGAAAAATTTACTTGAAACGAGAAACGATTTTTCTGGGTGTATATACTCTACGGCAATAGGTAGAAGGTAAGGTGCAGTTTTCTGAGCGCGTTGAGGGTATTTCTTCTACTGGCAGCGTTTGCCCCCGAAAATGCCTCCCACCTCAGCGTATCGGGGTCAAGCCCGCCACCGGTAACGGCCTCGCGCCCGCCCCGGGACACGGGCCCAGTCCCCCGAGCCCTCGGCGGTGAAGGTGTTGTCGATGCCGCCTAACACGTCCCCACCCC